AGATACAGTAAATGCATCAATAGCTATGCAACCTGGATCTGGTTTCCAGGAAATGTATTTTTGAGCTTGGTTATTTATCCAAGATGTGAACAGGTCAATTTCATGTGAGAATGTTAATATTTTACGAATTTTTTTGTAAACAGTTGGGCACAGTTTCCATTCTGTGTTATCATTAAACTGACGAGACATTTTGTCTGCGACTAGGTTAGTTTTCCCTGGAATATGGGCTGCAGAGATCCACATATTTCTGTCAATGCAATAAGCCCATATCAATTTTGTAACATCATTGCATTTTCTAGACTTACTACCACCCATATTATTAATATATGAAACAGCAGTCATATTATCACATAAGATTTTTATGTGTTTTACTTTGGTTTTTGTCCTTGTATAGGATTTTATAGCTAGCAAGATGGCCAGCATTTCTAGGTAATTTATACTGTGTCGAACAGTGTAGTCCCATCTGCCCCCAATTGGGGTGTTGTGGTCTGTTGCCCCCCAGCCCTCTAAACTTGCATCAGTTTCCAATTGGAGATCAGTTTCTGGCTAGTAAATGGACAGGTGATGTTTTCTTACATTATTTATCCACCAATTTAACTCTGCAATAACTTTAAACACCCATTTTGAGCCTACAATATTTCTATTCTTAGGCAATGGAACAAGTGTCCATGTTTCATTCTTGAGCAATGATTCATACTCTGAGTCAGTTCTCTCCATTTCTCTGCATATTCACCATTCCAAGCATCTTTTATTGATCTTGGCTCTGCAATGCTTACTTCTGGAATAATAGAGAGAAAAGCATTTGCTGTGAGATTTTCTGCATCAGATAAACTATCAAGATCAATTGCTTCAGTATCTATCCATTCTCCATATCGGTTTGGGTTTCTCCTTTCTCTTTCAGAACGCCTTAGTGTCTCATTATCTCCCACTGGCTCAAGATCTTGGAGATTGTGATTATCAACTTCTGCTTTATCATCTGCTTCTGGATAAATAACATGAAAGTCCCTTTCAAAATCATGGTAAACATTGATGCTTTCTTCTCTGATTCCTTCACCTGCATGGTTGATATTTTCAAAATTGTTTTCACAAAATTTCACATCACGACTGAGAATTACTTTCTTTGTACCTGGATCATACATCCGGTATCCTTTTCGTGGATCCGCATATCCAATGAAAATACACTTGGTGGACTTTGCATCCAATTTTTGTCTTTTCTCTTTAGGAATATGAACGTAAGCATTACAGCCAAATACTTTCAAATTGGAAATATTAGGCTTTCTCTTGAACCAAACTTCATATGGTGTACACCCTTTTAGTGCAGTTGTAGGACAACGGTTTCTTATATATGCCGCAGTATTGATGGCCTCTGCCCAAAATCGTAGTGGCATTTTCGCATGATATAACATTGATCTTGCACTTTCTAACAATGTCCTGTTCATGCGTTCTGCTACACCATTTTGCTGGGGTGTTCTTGGAATAGTTGGCTCTTGAATTATTCCATGTTGCTTGCAAAAGTTGTCAAATTCTTTAGAGATGTATTCACCACCATTATCTGATCTCAGACATTCAGTTTCTTCCCAGTGAAGTTTTCAGCCATTCTTACATATTCCTTAAATTTTTCCAGAACTTCACATTTGTTCTTGATGAAATATGTAACTGTCATTCTTGAATGGTCATCAATAAAGGTTAGCAAATATCTGGCACCACCATCTGATGCAATTTGCATAGGACCACAGACATCCGAGTGTACCAAATGTAGAATATCACTGGCATGTTCTGTTCCCTTCTTGGAGAACGGTTCTCTGGACTGCTTGCCTAAGGAGCATCCCTCACAGTCTCTATCAAAATTGTATGAATCAGTTTTCATTCCTGTGACAATGTCATTTCTTGCCATATCTTTCACACTATCATAGCCTAAGTGTCCAAGACGTAGATGCCAAATTTCCAAAGACTGACTTCCTGTGGAATTTTCTGTAGTAGCAGTAGCAGGAAAACTATTTTCTTCACAATCCAAAACATATAGATTTCCTTCTTTGTGGCCAACAGCCACAAGACCTTCTTGAGTAGAAATTTCACACTTTTCACCTGAAAAATGTACAGATCCTCCATTCTTGGTTATAGATGGAACAGAAATTAAGTTCTTTTGCAGATCTGGAACATGTAAAACTTTTCCAAATGTAACATTTTTAGATTCCTCATGAGGTATAATGCATTTCATTGTAATATCTCCTTGACCCTTAGCTTCAATTGTCTTATTGTCAGCCAGATAAATTTTCTTTCCATCCTGTAATGTTTCATAATTTCTCATGTTTTTATCCTGTGATGACATATGCTGAGTTGCACCTGAATCAATAATCCAAGTCTCAAGATTATTGGAATCTACAGTAAGTGCCATAGTTGATGATACCAAGGTCGGCTTGGTGTGTGTTACATTTCTGCTGTCATTACCTTTACCCTTAGCATGACCTTTTTGATTTTGTGGTTTACCCCAACAATCCCTAGCCAAATGACCAACTCTATGGCAATTAAAACATTTCTTACCATCAGATTTTGATTTCCAATTCTTTATTCGCCTAGTTGTTAAAGCATTATCAAAGGATTCCCCTTCACCAGCAATTTGTGCTCGATCAGCAACAGTCAAAATTAGGCCTTTTACTTTTTCCCATGATAATTCCATTTCTTCAATGGTATCCAACGTTGTACGCAAGCTGTTATAAGATGTAGGCAATTTTCCTAACACTATTTCACAAAAATCATTTTCGGGCATTGAGCCCCCCATTTCGAGTAACTGATCTCTTAATCTGCACATTTTGTCCAAAAAATCCAGAGCATTTTCACCCTCTTGCATTCGCATATACGACATTTTGTCTCTTAAATCAATTATCCTTACGAAAGATTTCCTTTGAAATTGATTTTTAAGGGATTCCCAAGTTTCAGCTGCAGATTTGCAATTTCTTACGTGAACTAGCTGATTGTCACTTACATGAATCGATATAATGGCTCTTGCTTCGTCGTCTTTCTCCTTGAACTCGTTTCTCTGTGCATCATTTGCTTCTGCAGATAATTGAATTTCCCCTGATGCATATCCGAACAGCTTTCTTGCTGTAAGAAGCATTTCTATTCTGAATTTCCAATTGTCATAATTAGTCCCATCAAGTGGAGCGATCCTAACACTTGTAACTTCGAATCTATCCATCGTGATAAAGTAAATGTACAACAAATCTCTAGCGAAAATACTTCCAGTATCCTGGGCCCATAACCTGTTAGAGTTACGCGGAAGATTGTTGTAGATATGCGAAAATGATACACAACATATTCAACAATGAAACGAAATCAGCCATATTGCATTTACAAAGCACGAGGTAAATCTAATAGGTTAAGTACTTCATGTAAAGATGAAACGTCATTTCTAACAATAACATCTTCTGGTATCAACACGAGTTTAGTATTAAAGTACCCCTTGGCTTTTTTTTTAAGTTCAGAAATTATGAATTTCTTTGTAGTTGTATAGTGTAGCTTACAATAGGGTGTAGCAGGAATGACTGAAATAATTGTGCCCAGAACTGATGCAAGATCTCTTAATGTGTTATTGTTATTCATTATGAGATTTCTTAACTTGTCAATAACTGCACCTGCTTTTTGTGGAGAAATTGAAATAGTCATGTTTCTGGAGTTCAATATGAATCCCAGAAACTCGATAACCTGTGTTGGTATCAGGATGGATTTATGGGGCTGAATAGTGAAGCCAAGGCTTGTATGTAGATTCACAGTGTCCTCAAAATTTGCACAGCATTGCTCATAGCTGTCACTTTGCAAGTAAGTACCATCAACATAGACTATGGATGTGTGCCCCCTGCTTCTTAAGTAGCTAAATGGAAGTTTGAGAATTTTTGTAAATATTCTCATTGCATCTTTGTAGCCATTAGGCATACAGAGGAATATGTAAATATGGTTACCATACACAAATTTAAGGAATTTCTTGTGTGTGGGATGTACAGGAATCGTGTAAAAAGCATCTTTAAGATCCACACTAGCCATATAGACATTGGGTTTTATAAGAATCAGAACACTTGTCAAAGTGTCCATTTTAAAGTGAAGATGCTCGACATGACTATTTAGCTCTTTGAGATTTAAGATCAATCTAATGGAGCCATCCTTTTTTGGTCTAGTGAATATTGGGGAGATAAAATCACCAGGGTCCCTTTCACATTTAACAATTACCTTTTTAATAGAAGTTTATCTATTTCATGCTTAATTCCCTCCATTTTTCCAGCAGCCAAGTGGCCATGCTGATCTGTTTCAGGGTTAGGATGGTGACAAAATTCAATTTTAAGCCCACTGTGAACAATATCAAGCAAAAATGTGTCCCCGGTGAGTTTTTCCCAAAGAGGTGTATAGAATACGCTAGAGGGATAACTCTGTAGGGAGCAGTGAGGCCTATCAATTTCCGCATTGCACGGCAACAAGTGACTCAAAGTGTATGGCGTTCTATTGCATCTCGCTATTAGGATTGTTATTTCGTGCGTTTCTTTTTGGTCTAAGAATTGACAGACTGATAAGAAAAGACAGTCTTATAATAGGGTTGGAAATATACGACTCCCGCCAGTATTTCTACGGATATAAGTGGGGATGGATCAATTTTACTTCACCGGTTTGTTGACGATTAGGCCTATCTTTACCATTAGGTTCTTCAATATTGCCCCTTTCTATAAAATTTATACATTTTTTCTTAAATTTATTTCTTTGGTACTCGCTACATTCCTCCTTGTTTCATGACCGATGCCTTGCAAGGTGATCACTTGATACACCTCGTCAAAAATATCGGCTGTTTGTTTGCGAAGGTATGCCAAAAAAATTAAAGAGAGAAGTCATAAATAAAAACAAACCAGGTATTTATCTTCAGATAAAAAAAAACGCTATAGATCCTCCAAAACAACGGTCGGTACCATCACTGTTAATGTCCAGAATTATGCTTTACCTTCCAATTTTCCTTAAAATCCAATAATTTAGGTTCGTAGGTGTTTCAGATTTTCCGGTTTAATCACGTAAAACTGAATTTTCGCCTGAATTCTTTGCTTAATTTTGCAGGCTTCATACAAGAGTTTGTACGGCACTTCTCCGCTCTTGCCGTGCAAATCAGTTCTCTCCTGGCTTCACTTCCTGTGGTCAGGGCTGCCTCGAGTTGACCCTCCAGCGTATTCTATACACCTCATTGGTTTTTCCCAAGCTTTTAGGCAACTGCTAATATGCCCTGCTTGAACTGTATCGACCTCATGTTGTAACCTGTTTGTATCTTTATTATCTAGCAACAGCTGATCAGTAAAGAGACTAACATTATGTGTGTGTTTTATTGTTGGGCAGGTTTATCCTCGGTAATTTCCTCTGGCTGGCCTGCCCCGTCTGTATGCGCCTCTTTTCCCATAGACAGGGCTCCTTGGGGAGGCAGGGCTCTTTGTTACTGTGGACATGGTTTACAATCTTTTATTCAGATCATCTTCAAATAGCATTTTTGAACCTGAAGGTACATTATGCACTAGTTGTTGGTACATGCTTAGGAGCTTATGTTTAATCGACTCGCGTCAATATTGGCTTATCTCTTGTTGTAGGTTGCCTAGAAGAGCAAGAGAGTCAGTAGCCATTATGATTATGTTGTCAATCTCAGACCCTGAGGCATTCTGGCCTTTGTAAGTCAGCAGTTCATTAGTTATCAAGCTCTGTGCAGCAGTAATTTTCAAAAGATCTTTTTGAATTCTTTGGAAATTTAAATAAATTGTCCTGGACTCTGTTTCTAGATTATTGGCCCAGATTTCAGGATTGACTTTTTGAAAAACTGGCTGTCAGTTAGATTTTTCAGGTGTCTTGTATTTTTCAAGTATTTTATTGGCCAGCTTTTCACTAATTTTTTCGCTGAAAGCCTCATCTTGTCCCCACTCTTCAGCTATTGTGTCTAGTAATGGGTCTGGGGGGTTGTCCCCTACCACAGGACCCACAAGTAGTTTTTCTACATCTTTGTCGAGGTCATCTTGCTCTAAATGTCTGATGACGTCATCAAAATCCTCTTCAGGAGTATTTGGGGGGTCGTTATCTGGCCGAGCCCTAACGACTTTTAATGGAAGGACCTGGACAGTCATCATCCACTTCACCATCAGACCCGTGGTCTGACAGGGTTCGTTTTTTAGTTGATTTATTGCTGTTTTGCATAAATACAGCAAGGACACCTGTAAGCTTTTGTATAGATGCTTCAAATTTATCAGAGAACTGTTTAATTTTTTTCATTTTGGCTACGCTCAAGCCTCATGAGCATGTTTGCATATTCCGTGTCACCAGCCTTGCTGGTAGTTGGAATAGTAACTTCAATCTGTGCAGGTGGAGAGTCTTGCTCCATCCTGCACGCTAGGTAATAGAGCTTCCGCCGATGTAACTATAAGTAATCGATAAAATAAAGGAATACTTCCCTGTCCTTTCGTTCTTCAACCAGCTCTTGTCACGGCGTGCTTGCAAGTGATCATGTTGGCTGCTCCTTCGCAGAAGTAGCAGTGAGGTAGAACTAGTATTGACGGCCAAAGTTTGAAATGTAAACGAAACTTTTGAAAAATGTATTGATGGAACATGCACAGTAAGGTTTGACGTACGGTGGCTCGGAGCGCAAGCATATGCCGGAGCAAGCAAATACCGGATTCCCGTCAAATAGCGGAATTTTTTCTAACAGCAATTTTGAGTGATTTCAGGGGTTGAATGAGGTCAAAAACGACATGAATTCTTATTTTTCGTTGTTTTATCGCATTTGAATGTTGGAATTAGCTATTTTTTCAAAATAAAAAAAATATTCGGAGTCAACAATGTCTGCAATGTTGAGATATCAAGCTAAATCACTTCATTTCTACTTAAAACTTGCGAAATCAAGAGTTTTCTATTTAAAAACATAAAATTGTCAAGACAATTGTCAAGAGAGACAAGAAATCTCCAAAGTAAAACTTTTCGGGCCTACGGGCAGACTTTCACGGGCCGAAGCAAAAGCTAATGTCATACTTCCGAGGTCGTTATTCGCAGACGCGCGGAAGTGTTGCTCTTTTTGGAGAATCCTCCCGTCAAATAGCGGAATCGTATCGAACAGTTTTTTACCGTTCTCTGAAAAATATCCACAATCCTGTCACTGTTTTATGCAGTTAATGCTTTTAGAAGACCCTAAAACAATATTTTGCAGTAAGACTATGTGCAGATAGCACGTTATTAGTGTTGCTCTTTTTTGAGAATCCTCCCGTCAAATAGCGGAATCGTGTGAAAAATTCAAAATTCCAGGGCTCTTTGCAAAATTGTTGCATATGTCTTTTTGTAAATAAACTCCTCATTTGTTGGGGAGATGAGATCTCACTCCTATTGTTTGAGACAAAAGGCTTAATGATTTGTTCGAGCCAATCAACGTCGAGGGGCAGGGACGCATGCGTATTCTAACGAATTATCCCTACAAAGTCCCGGGCCATCCTCAACACCAAAAGCCAGGAAAACAATGAGATCTCGCAAACATGTCGAGAACAGTAATTTTAGTAATTTCTGAGGAGTTTTACGCATATATTTTAGGACGTATTTTCGTTTATTTTTCATTTGGGGGTTTCCTTGGAACTTTTTGTAGATGTAGTCAAAAGGGGAAGATCAAAATTCGAAGCTTTCCGCCTTAAAAATTTGAATAATTGAATTGAAGGTACGTTGTCTGTTGTTTTAGTTGCCTTGGTCTGGCCATGGTCTGGCTCTAGTGTCGGAGGTCAGTTAAAATCAGGTTGTATTGTTCACATCGAATGTCTACTCTCTGTAAACACTTAGGCCGCGTCATAAAATTCTCGATGTTTTTGCTTACCTTTGGAAGTAAAGTGAGCCTTAATACAAACAAAAAACATAAAACAACAGAGAATCCAGGCAGGTTTTTCAGTATGAAAGATATTTCTGCTATGATCAAACTCCCATGTCAATGTGAATGATAAGCTCCGACCGCTCACTAAGGTTTGAAATTCGATCGCAAAGTTCTGTTTGTTCTTTTCTCGGGGGGTTCTATGCCTCTTTGACTCAGAATATATAATACGCATGTGCAATGGCCCCAAAACGGGGGTACTCATTTCATACTCAAGAACTTGCTGCATCTCATCTCCCCAACAATCATGTCAAGAAGCAGAGGTCTTATGCCAATGGCAAGTTCTTACAATTTGTTTAAAGGAAACATCAATTTGGTTACTAGTGTTTTTGCAAAGTATGTTGTCCATAAGGTAGTCGAAAGGAACCCAATGTTTGTTATTTGTAATAAAAGGGAAACCCCAGTTGATCGCCAATTCCCCCAAATACAAAGAAGGGATTTGGCAAAATTTCAGAAAAATATTTATCTGTATCAATGAAAAAAAACAAATGAACTTAGAAAGTTACCATGGGATGCATGTCCACAACAGTCAAAATATTTATACTTAATTTGATTTCAAACAGCAGTGTATATTTTGATTTTGTTGATTCAATGCATTCTTTTCTGAGCTATAAATAATTTGATTTAACATTGATCATTCATCACTGCATAACATCCTTTTATAACTACAGCATGGACTGCACCATAGCTACATTTTGTGCAAGTAGTATATTTTCAATAATACTCTACTACATTTCCCTTAGAACTATTTAATGAATGGAAAGTAACACTACGGGCAGCACCCCTCCCCCCAATATGAATTCGTTCACCAAAACTGTAACTCCAGTTCAAAGTATGAAAGACAGAAGGCTTCATTCTAATGCAGAAAGATAGAAGAGGAAGTTTGTCACTCTCTCTGCTATTAAGAAAGGCTGCATGCTTTAAGTAGGCAATTTTTTTAAGTTCAGCAGTCAAAAGCTAGTGCTTAAAATGCCACAGGCTACCTCATAAAAACCAATAAATACAGTTTCTATTCTTGAGTTTCCCTTCTCTTTCCCTAATAAATTAAGAACATATGGCCTTCACTGGAGTTATCTGATTGACCATTTCTTATTTTTGCAGATGTATGTGCATGATTTAAAGGGGATGTTTGTTTAACTGTGAATACCTTAAAGTGGTCTGTCCACCCATTTTGATAACTAAAAGTAATCTTTCACTGTTCTGTTGAGTGACGTGCAAGTTAAAGAAAGTTTTTAATTCTTAATTCAGCCATTTTTAAATTAAAAAATAACATTTGGTTGATCCAACCCCACCAAAAACGTTTTTATTCTAAAGGGTCATTATTTAAGACAGGCAAAGGGATTTCTTAGGATTAAGAAGACATAGTTTCAGAATTATGGTAATCTCAATGTTACAGTATCACTTCCATTTTTTGAAGTGACAAATAACCTTATAAAAAATATGACTCCATTTAGACCAGTCTATGATATGTTTAAATGAGCAAGGGTTTTCAGTAAATAGCATCAGTTCAGACCCTGCCTTTTTCCTTGCCAGTTGTTTTAAATTAGCATGTTTCAAACAACCAAGAACACTATGCAAATTTTAAATTATTTTAGAGATTAGATAATAAACTAAACTGGCTAATTTGTGCGTCAGCGACAGAAATAAGGGGGGGGGGATAAATCTAGAAATGAAGAGTGTGAATACTTTGCCTTTCTTTACAATCAAAGACTTACGGGAGTGGGGGTAAATTTGGATAACTCCGCTGCAAGCAGGGGGTGTTACAGGGCCTCTGACGAAGGGGGCCATTGGGGAGACAATTATTTAGCGAAACAATAGAACTTTTTTAAAAATTTTTGTTATGATTGTTAAAATCTCCCTTGCCCCCCCCCCGAACTTTCCAACCAGCGTCGGAGCCCATGCGTTATGTAGTTTCCTACGAATTTGTTGGTCGTAATTGGGCTTAGATAACCGAAAATATTAATATCAAAGCTTTGGTTGACATTGAAGCTCTGCTCAATGATGCAATTTCATTTATGTTGTTAGGCCCAGACGTAAAATATTTTTCCGTTCAAGATAGTGTATAGCCAACATAGTTCCCAAATTTACAGTGATAATACCCGATGTCCTTTTTATTCGATTCACAGTCCTCACTATAACAATGCTTTCAAAGCAGTGGTGGCGCCAGGGGAGGGCTAGGGGGGCTACAGCCCCTCCGTCGGAAGGATCTAGCCCCTCTATCGGAGGAAATTTTAGGTTATTGTCGGAGCAAATTTGACAAAATAAAGTACGAAAACTGCTTATTTTAGTCATTTTAGCCCCCCTGTCGGAAGCTCCAGCCCCTCTGTCGGAAGATTTCTGGCGCCACCTCTGTTTCAAAGACTTCTTGATAGATAAACATAACAGAACAATTCTGCACCCGGAACCCAGCCATGATAATTCCTTCGGTTCATAATAAATCCAGCTTCAAACACAAGACTAATTCACTGTGTACTGTAGCCTAATTTTGCTTAGAGGGCCACTCCATCTAGGCCTCTACAAGAAAGGTACTTTATAAACAACAACAGAACGATAAAACATCGTTTAAAAATACTACTGTGTACGGTCTTCAAACAATTCAATATTTTGGTTCTAAAGTTTGAAGCTCTGTTGCAATTTTCCGATCCAAATTGAAAACACACATCATTGACTCTTATTGATAAATTTTTTGGCATATTTTCCTGAAAAGGTTATTCCCAATATCCTCATTGGAGTTTCCTTGTGAAACATCAGGTAGTATGTTTGATTTATTTGTATTAAAATATGTTATTAGTTTTATTTGTTTTTTATGGGGAGGGGGGGCTCTCTCTCGATTAGTTAACCTATTTAGAGAAATCCTCCTTAATCAATCAGTCTTCAATACAATCATGTAAAGTTCTTTTCTAGTCTTCTGTAAGTTTAATTTGTTTTGTGTGGTATTATATATTGTGAGTACTTAGTTGAAGTGTTATCTTGTAGAATTGTATTTAGGATTGAGTGATAAATAAATGAAACTGAAACTGAGATGAAACTGAAACTGAAACTGAAACTGAAACTGAAACTGAAACTGAGATGAAACTGAAACTGAAACTGAAACTGAAACTGAAACTGAAACTGAAACTGAAACTGAAACTGAAACTGAAACTGAAACTGAAACTGAAACTGAGATGAAACTGAAACTGAAACTGAAACTGAAACTGAAACTGAAACTGAAACTGAAACTGAAACTGAAACTGAAACTGAAACTGAAACTGAAACTGAAACTGCAACTGAAACTGAAACTGAAACTGAATCTGAAACTGAAACTGAAACTGAAACTGAAACTGAAACTGAAACTGAATCTGAAACTGAAACTGAAACTGAAACTGAAACTGAAACTGAAACTGAATCTGAAACTTCATCCAAGCGAGGGAAGCTGCGAGAGCCCATATTTGAAACCAGTATTTCGCGGCAAAATGGAAGCAACTGCGCATGCTCTATTAGTACAATTTTCTCTGATTGGATTTAAACTCTGAGCGACAAACGAAAGGAAAGACAATAGCCGTTTCAGCTCGTATCCCTAACAATCCTGCGATGAAAGGAAACAGAAAGTTTTCATAACCACGCCCATAAGATTAGTTTGAAATATATTTCAGGATACTCCTTGCTGTCATTTCCTTTCAATTTTTGAATACTTTCGCCATTATTTAGCCATGCTTTTGTAAAGTGACTTTTATCAGGCCTTTCAGTATAACTTTTTAGCTATGCAAGTTATGAAGCTGTAACTTTGTTTACTGGTGTACTTTGGCGTGCTGATTTAGATAGATTATGCATGTATCCCTTTTTGAGAAAAGGTTAAATAAATACCTTAAAATGCATAGTTCTCGGATATACCCTTACTAGCTAGAAAGTTACTTAATGTGTTATTCACTTGCTTCGTCATTTTAGATTGACTATGATGAAAGGCACCTATAATGTAGAAGGAAAGTAAAATGAAAGGGAATGCTGAGCAGGTCATCAACATATAAACTCTGCTTGGCACTAAAATTATCAGATTTAATAAACGCGCTGTTTATAGACGAAGGAAAAAAGTATTCAAATCAGGATCCCGATCGATTTGTTTGCCTTCGGTGACGATCCTTGGTTTGGACAATTACTGCAAAAAAGATACTCTTGGCATAATCTAATTTTGAAGACCCCATACACAGAGCGACCCAAAAGCTCTTAATGCATTACCTTGCTTCCAAGTTTTTTTCATTTTTTTCTTCTTGTAATGTTGAAAAGTAAACCACCTTGCTCCACAAAAATTGAATTGTGATGAAACTAATCTATCATCTTCCAATTCCACAACTTGTTCCTTTTCAGCAACACTTTTTTCTTTGTCATGGAAGTACAGTGGAATATTCAATTCAAGATATTTTGGCTCACATACACACTGTCATCAGGTATCTATGTTGTAGTTGAAAATTAAAACATCGAATGGCCTTAGTGTCAAAATTCAGCTTAGGCTTTTGCAAGGTGCATGAAGGTAAAACTGAAACATTACTATTACGCAAGAAGAAATATCCAGAAATAGCTAGCTTTCAAATTTACAATTTTCCATGACAAGGACAACTTCCGAAGCTATGCTAAAGCCAATCAAAATCTTTTCTTGATTTGTTAAATGGGTAACGTATAGGAATAACACGGGTAACTTTGCATAGGCTGAATATGTGATAAAATATTGAATTAACGACTTACAGCAAAGCTTTTTTCGCTAATTTGATTTTATTCGTTTAGCATTTCTATATCTCAGTTACAGTAGCAGCACTTAATAAAGGACAAACTATTGCAAATGAAACAAAGTCATCACCAAGTCACGCGACATCACTGAAAGGCTCATCGATACGGTTAACGTGGGGATATGAGTATGGAGGTGATATACCCGGATTTATAACATACAAAGAACAAATAATTGGATTTAACAGTTCCTCACAAGCAGCACTGCAACCTATAGCAAAGAGGACAGGAGCAAATGGTGTGCTTCAGCTTGTGCCAACTGTTCCAGCACCATTCTCTGGAAGGCTCCAAATAATACCATCCAACGATACATTGGTGATCAGTGGATTGAAGTACAATGACACTGCTTACCAATTTGCATCATATATTATTACAGAAATTATCACAGGTAGTTCAGGCCAATTTAGAAGTGACCTCAAACCAATTGTCCGAATTACAGTCAATGGTAAATTTCAATAAAACACTTTCAACTGTAATTTTTTGAAAATTATGATTTTGAAATTGAGCAGCCAAGAAATTAAGCTGATATCTTATTGCTTCTTGTCTTATTAACTAAATTAGATACAAAACGAGAACATAAATTTACTCCTGTTCAGTAATATGAAAATGTTCGTGTTAATAACTAAACGTAGTTTTAACAGTGTTTTTCTGTTGAATAATACTATTTATATGAACATTATCGTTTTGGTCGTTTGTTATTAATCATTGCTGATGATGATTGATTACGAGAATGGATGAAATTGAGAATGGATGAGATTGAGAATGGATGAGATTGAGAATGGATGAGATTGAGAATGGATGAGATTGAGAATGGATGAGATTGAGAATGGATGAGATTGAGAATGGATGAGATTGAGAATGGATGAGATTGAGAATGGATGAGATTGAGAATGGGTGAGATTGAGAATGGATGAGATTGAGAATGGATGAGATTGAGAATGGATGAGATTGAGAATGGATGAGATTGAGAATGGATGAGATTGAGAATGGATGAAAATGAGAATAGATGAAATTGAGGATGGATGAAATTGAGGATAGATGAGATTGAGAATGGATGAGATTGAGAATGGATGAAATTGAGAATGGATGAGATTGAGAATGGATGAGATTGAGAATGGATGAGATTGAGAATGGATGAGATTGAGAATGGATGAGATTGAGAATGGATGAGATTGAGAAAGGATGAGATTGAGAATGGATGAGATTGAGAATGGATGAAAATGAGAATAGATGAAATTGAGGATGGATGAAATTGAGGATAGATGAAATTGAGGGTGGATGAAAATGAGAATAGATCAAATTGAGAATGGATGAAAATGAGAATAGATGATAATGAGAATGGATGAAAATGTGAATGAATGAATTGAAAAATTAAAGTAAAAAACAAAGTAAAGAATCAAGAGTTTTATCCACTTTTTCTGTCAATATCTAGAGAAAACAGAGCCAATCATTAAAACACCAACAAATACTGTCAATGTACACTACTCTAATTTGCCAATTCTAAGTGTTTTAAATATTCCTTTGTTTCCTTCAATAGGAGTACCAGAATTCATTACATCATCTCTAGCGACAGTTGAAGTGAATGAAAATTCAAATTTAGAGATAGGCATTGAAATGGATGGAAATCCTGCACCATCAGCTGATTTTCTTTGGCCTCATCTTGGTGATGGTGGGACAACTGTTGCTGGTAGCCAAATTTACCCATATGTTTATTCAGCAAAGTTTACACATCCAAATATAGCTGCTACTTTTTGTGGAAGGATATTGAAATCTTCAGTGAAGAACAGTATTGGGTCATCACTTGCCAAAGACACCTACGTCACTGTTTTATGTAAGTGCCTTATGTTTTTCTTTAACAGAACACTTTCATTTAATCAAATAAGATTAGAAACCTCCATGAAGATGTTTCTTTCCAAGCAATTTTATTTCAGCAAAAATTTAGGTTCAAATTTGCTTATTATTAATAGGGGTTTGTTTCAAACATTTTGCTTGTTTTAAATTAAGATTTTGTTTGTAACATGTCGCGAATCAAACGAAGTGAATTTAACAACTTTTTATGTCTAGTGAAACTCAATGGCAATCCGAATTTGCAAGCAGGAAAGATAATCGTAGACAGTTGTGTTGAAGTAAAATGGACGAAGGCCGAATCTGGGGCTTGTCACGTGAAATATGAAGTGAAATTGAAAAATGCCTTAGGGGCTGTTGTCTATACTGAAACTGGATATAACATCGATGAAATAAAGAAATGCGAGATTCCAGGAAACGTGAATATCACTGGTGTTGAAATGACGATGAGTTTCAAAAGTGCTTCAAAGGTCTTCACTGCCAAAGTCTCAGAAACACGAATCCCAACAACACTAGTACCAAGTTCAAATGACCCAACAACAAGAACAAGCACGCCGCACAAATCAACAGCAAAGGAGAAGACAAGTGTTCAACCAATAGCATCTAAAGAAAAACAAGGCAAGGTCTACTTCGATGTTATTAAATCTTTAGCAATGGTTTGGTTTCTAAAAACCGTAATATAGGCTATCAGTATCTTGACACACAAAAGGTGGCTCTGTATCTTAACTTGAACCTGTCAGGCGTTTCTGGGGCTGAGCGATACGAAAATCAATCATTTTATCTGTATCTCAATCACAAATAGGTAGTCAGTTCTTGAATTAGTTTACGACCAATTATCTCGTGAGCCTGATAAGAAGCGAACGATGCAATTATCAAAATTAATCTTATTTTGAGAGGAGCTCTAGCCTTGTTCTTTTTTAAAATGGAGGGCCAACTGTTAAGCCCATTCAGCTCCCTCGTGCTGCATTTTAAAAGCAAGGGGTGATTGCAGGAACGTAAACAAATGGCTAATTTTGGGGGGCGTGGAAGGTTGGAAATTCCAACTTTACCTGATGATTTTTTCTTTCGACCTGTTAATCTTCTGTACCTACTAAATTGATTTTTGGAATTAGCCTTATGGCTTATTCCAGATTTCTAGGTTCTGAATAATTACCAACATTTTACTTATGATAATTAGTCTTAAGCATAAAAGCATTAAAGAAGAAAAAGGAAATCTCTAAATTTTGATTAACGTAAAACGTACAGATAATCTTTTCGTAAGATGTAAAGCAACATCAAAGCCATACCATTCTAGATCTTGGATATGTATAATGATAAAAAGTAATATTCTTTCGAGTCAATTAACAGCAATTTTGTTCATTTTCTGCTTTGCCCATCTTAAAGCTATTTGCTGCAGATCAGTTTTAAATAAAATATCTTTTTCCTAGTATAGAAGCATCAAAGAATTTACCATTTAATCTTTTGTTCTTGATAGATGGAAATTTTCACAATTTTTAAAGGGCTAAATGTCTTTTGTTTTTTGGAACAGAAAAGGGTGATCTGAGGGCAAGTGCACATTCCCGATTCGTAGGATAAAACACTCTTCTTTGATCAAATACTTCTACTGCCGCTTCTTTGGTCAATGTGGCTTCTCATCAGCTTTATCATAGCAATTCATGATAAGATTTAAGGAGGTATAAAAAGTGCTGGGGGAGCTTAGCATACACCCGTCAGGAAGCGTTGAGAATTTCTACCAATGAAAGATTTTAATGTTTTCAATTGAATTGGCTACCCGTTGTTTCTTAAAAAAATTCCCACTTTCAATTGTTCCGATCAATTGATATAGGGAATATTTTTTTCAAAACTTCAGGCTCAATCAAAACTGATGGTAAAATTTATACTACTTATCAAGAAATTCACCTTGCCTGTTTAAAATAAGCTAATTCAACTTAACCCCTGTCAAAAAAGAAACAAACGATGCAATGGTGCAATTTGAGATCCATTGGAGACAGGGCTTCACAATTAAAAACGATTAGAAGATGTGCCTGCTCCAGAGTTTCAATTTTAATAAGGTCTAAGATTTTTACATTGAAAATCCCAAAATCCTAAGCTATAAAATTCACATATTTGGTCATAATAGTTAGAAAAAATTCCAAGAGAACTTTTAAGTTTTCCAACTACAACTGGATTTTCCAACGTTTGGGGGGGGGGCGTCACGCACCTATTATTTACGTGCCTGGGTGATTGCGTGTCCAGCCGAAGTCCCACGTAGCAGTAGCCCCACTGGTTCTTGCCTCTTTGCTCAGCTTTAGAGCTTTAATAAGGTCAATTTTTATTCTTAGCAATTGGAATTTGTGCCTATCCTTGCCACCTACAGCTTTTGTTTATAACTTGGGAGACTCGAATGTTAATGCCCGAGAAAAGCCGCCTATGAAGTACATGTTATGTTTGCGTTTCCATTACAGTGAATAGCGATGAAGAGAAAGACAACATAATCATGGCGCTTTCAGTAGTGGTTGCAGTCTCATTCATTGCCATGGCAACAATGGTGATCTGTCTCATCAGAATAAAGGCAAAACTAAAACAAGGTAACCTTAGTTACGGTTTTCATCACAAAAATATTTTTCCTTCCGGCTGTTGGCTGTTTTTCATAATTAAGAATTATATCTCTCAAAGAGCTAAAATTTTCATCTACTTTTTTGTAGCTCAAGACAATGGAAATAAAAGGTAAATGAGTTGATGCTTTCGTATAGTTATAGTTTTGCCAATTTGAAGTCATTCTAAATTTTTTCTACTACCAATTGTTGTTCATAAGTAAATTCTGTCCTTAGCTGCTCTTCTATGTCCTTTGCCAATTTTAAATGGCTTTCATTTAGTAGTTTCATACATTTAGCAAAGATAAATGAGTGTACTTTGTTGAATCCATAGGAATGTACAGCCAAAAGAGACACATTACATGGACCTGCAGGGACAAAATGCAACCACAGACCCAACTTACGCAGGCTTGCAATCACCATACGAAGAGATTCACGATGCTGCTCGGAATTATGAAAATACGAAGCATCTTTCGAGCGTTTTATGAGCTCAAACAGGACATATTTCTTATTATTTTGGGTTTTTAGAAGATTATAATCTTGTGTAATCTTGTCAATATGAAATTACTAGGTTGATATTTTTCATATCTTCTAGACCTTTCTAAAGTAAAAAATTTCTGTTCTTTTATGTAGAAATCGGATACCCTTTCTAATAATTATAAACTTGATTATTATAGATCGAAAGAGGCAAATGGAAAGAAGTTTCTCGAATGGCATTTTGTTGCTCCTCTTTTACCAAGATCGAAAATAGTACTTACCTTGAACAATGCTAAAAGTTGTTCTACGCCAAAGCAGTCAACAAGAATAACTTCTTTACAATGTTATATTTCATCTTTCTTTCAACGAAACCAAACATGAAGTCACTAGTCTGTTTTTGACATATTCGTGATGTTTTTACATGACAATACCAATCAGTCAATGCGTGAAATGAGTTCTCTAGCACGTGTGTACGCTTACATTTATTCTATAACCCATCTACAGGCTACAGGGGCTAGGATCCATAAAGTCCTGAAGGAAAAAACATCTCCGTTTTATTCAACTGCCTGTTTTTATTTTACTCTTAAAAATTCCGCTCATCGATAGTAAAAAGCATTTTTCTATCCCGTTTGTCTCTTTATTGTCTGCTTAAACCTTTGAATTTAATTTCTCAAACCATATTTTGGTTGTTGCTAGAAGTTCGTCAAGAAATTTTTTTTCGTACAGTTTTAGTTTCTGTTCTATTATGTTGAAGATCTTTTCACCAATTTGGTTTCTTTCTTCCAACTCTACTTGTCACTTTAGTTGTTTAGTTTGCTATAATTTTACTTTTTACCTCGTGCCACCTCTGTTCTCAACCATTCTTTTTGTTAGTGTATTCTAAGATATTTAAAAAAGATTCACCTACCAGCAAGAAATACTATATACCAGTCAGTATTTTGCCTGCTACTTCAAAATTATTTGAGAGAATTATTTTCAATCAACTATACACTTTTATTTGTCATCTGCTATCCCGGCTCCATTGTGGCTTTCAATAAGGTTATGGAACCTAACACACTCTATATTGAATATCTAAAATTTTCAAATATTTTGCTGAAAATTGACAGGAGGGAAATTGGTCTATAATTTGATTTTTTGGTAGTGAGACCTTTCATAAATACTGGGATCACTTTCGCAATGTCAAGCTTATTAGGAAAAATACCAGTTTAAAAAGATTCATTGATCAAAATTGAAATGTGGGGATCTAGAATTTTCAGCAATTTGATTGGGATATTATTTGGAGCACTAGATTTACTATTTTTAGAGATTTTATGACCTCTGATACTTCATCAGAGGTAGACGGGAAAATGAAGAAGGAATCCTGATTGGGATTGGGTAGGTAAGACAAAGGAGACCTTGGGCGTCTTGGGATCTTCTTTGTGATGTCATTAGCAACACTCGTCAAGTAATGATTAAATTGATTAGCTATTCTAACTGAATCCTTAATTTGGGAGCCGTTTTTATCTGTTAGATATGAAATTGTGTCTAGATTGTTTGATCTTAAGCTGACAAAATTCCTTATACCTTTCCAAAGCATTTTCATATTACTCTTGTTTTCATCAAAATAGTGATAATAGTAGTTTTTTTTAGATTCCTTGAGCTCATTAACGACACGGTTTCGAAAAAGTTCTAGCTACTCTACGAAGTTTCAATCGATTTTAAATCGTTTTACGGAAGTAAATATGGGGAAACAAAATAGACATACGAGATCGCTGTTTTATTGAGCTCGAACGGGGGGCGTTTCAGATATTCTCATAAAACAAGAAAAAACAAGGGGGAACTAAATGTATTTTATGCACATTAATTTTAGCAACTCTACAAAGTTTCAATCGGTTCGGAACATTTTTACTAGTGTACTTAGGGGTTTTCTATGTGCTGGTGTCATCAGCCAGAGGTTTCCCTGGAGCTTTTTGTTGTACAGGGAATTCGATTATTGTAGTTTTACGCTTAAAATTAGTATAAATTCGAAAAAGGTTGTTTTTATGTTGTTTTGAGTCGATTTAGTTGTCTTGCTTTGACTCTAGTGTTAAGGATCAGTTCACATCAGGTTGTGATGTTTCATGTCGAATGTCAATTTACGGGAGCACTTAGGCCGCGTCAAAAATGTCTGTTTACCTTGGGATGTAAAGTGCGTCCTGTTAAGAAAAGAATAAATAAATCAACAGAAAATCGATCCAGGTTTCTTCCTTGACAAAAATATTCGTTATCTTTATCCGATTTGAGATCAGAATAATTAGCCAAGTTTCAGCTTCGCCACCATATGTTCACCCATCTTCAGAGGAAAGTGGTAATGGATCACTCAATCGGGTTGTAACATCATTTCAATGTTCCCGTCTTCAAAACTTGTTCTCTCGCTTCCGATACCACTTCATCATCGTTAGATGAAACTTTTGAAACTGAAAATTCTCACCCGACCTTTGGTTGCTGGACATTTCTAGGCTCTGTTGGGGTTTCGTGATCGTCAACCATAGAATAACACACCAGAATGCGTCACTCTCCCCAGACTCTTTTCAAAAAACCTCCTGTGACTCAAGCCCCCCAAAAACAAACTTATTTTATTTTGAAAAAAATATTTGCAGATAAAGAATCAGTGATTTTTACTGCTTAGAAAAATATCCTTTTGCAAAATTTAGATTTTTCATATCAGTAGCACTTTAAAGAAAGTCACAATGAGTAGGCCAACAAAGGTATACGCATAAATTATGCACAAAATCCCTTAAAAGAAGAAATGCAATCGTTTAGCAAAAAACCTTTGAAACAATTTGAAGCTTATCTATTTTCATGGTTGAATTTCAAGAGCTTTCAATTGATGTATCATATATTTTAGTTTGCTGACGTTTCCTTATTTTTTGATGCCATTAGTCGATTTCCAATATTTTTCCAAAACCTTTGTACTGATAACTAAGTGAGTTGCAATTCACAGCAAATGAGCCAAACCTATGTTGATCTAAATATGCTTGATGCTTCTCGACATTATTTGACTTTGCTTGACACTAATAAGTCATAGATGTACTCAAATGAAAGCTTCATCATATGCCAGTTTCTACATTCCTTCACAAGCAACCAGTCAATTGTAGAACCTCTCTCTCTTTGGCGTAGCGGCCTATTAGAATTCCTGCAGCCATATTTGGCGTAGCGGCCTATTAGAATTCCTGCAGCCTTTTGCAATCTTTTTAGGAGTTTGACCGATAAGGTCAAAAAGGAACGTCAGTATAGTCCACATTGAACATAACGAGAAGCTCAGCAGCCTGTCTCTATAATTAGAATGGAACAAGTATTATCTGATTTCTGCTAGTATGGACATGGTATAGATCCACGAAGGTGTTACATTGGCTATATCGTAGTCCCATGATAGATGATCGCTCAATATTGCATCAAGCAATTTAATAAGTGTTCTTCAACACGAACCCTACACCCGGGTAAATTCTAGGAGTGCTCGGCCCCCCTTGCAACTCTTCAATATAAAAATATATTTAGGGAGAAGGAATAGGTTCAATATAGTATGACTTGAAAACATCACAATTTCATTATTAAAGGTTAAGTATATCAAGCTTTGTAAAGCTCGTTTAGTATTAAACTATTGAGACCACTGTTATTAAACAAACAATCGCGGACAAGCAACAGAAGCAATGACAATATTCTTAAATTATTAAGAATATATTCTTTAATTGTTCTTACATGATTTCAGAGGAACATCGCCCACTTTTGTATAAAATCCTCGTACTTTTAATAACGAGATACGCCAGTTCTCCAATTCCTTGCTATAACAACCCAAATCCGGCAGCTGCTGGAAAATGAGACACAAATATTTCTATGATTTCTGAGCCTGAATATTGTTATAAACAAGTGTAACTTTTCCTGATAAAATTATTCATACTAAGCCACACTACACTGCGTCCAAAATCATGAACTTTTTTTGGGTCCTTTTTGCTACCAGCAGAGCCTGATATATCCAATAGCTTTGTGACTTTGTTACATAAATAAAGGGAGTTATCCAACCTTATATCTGGCGGTCAACGAGGTCACTTTGAACAAACAGTTAACAAAGGTCGAATCTTTAACAAAGGTCACTGCCAAGGTAGCCCGCTACTGACCTTTGTCTTTGATTACCACAGCCTTCTAATACGGAGCAACCTGAAATGGGTGCCAATGTTTTATTACAAAAATGCCATACTCATGTTTCAAGAAATGAGATTTTTCAATCACCAATACTGGCTAATAAAACAGGCTGATCTAAAATCGACTTCTTCATTTTCGATTGCATGTGATCCATTCTGTGAAAACTGTTGCTGTTGCTGAATTACGATTTAACTTCCTTGTTGACATGGAACCGTTTGAAAGTAGGTCGATGTTTTCATTTCCTCTTCGAATTCAAGTGAATATTATGGAAGCTATTATCGTTGATTGTTAAATTTCTATGACTACTACCGCTGTATGGATTGAAATCGCAAGATGATGGCTGAATGAAGCATAAAAGAGATCAATCCGTATTCTATTTCAGGAAAATTAATTGCCTTGGTTTCTGGTTTCAAACAGGTAGATAGGCCTACTCGTAACGATTTCCCTATTTGACCCAGTTCTCTAAATAACCCCAAGCGCTTCCAGCATGATTGCATTGACGACATAGGAGACGGTAACAGTGGCGGAGATTATGGGGTTTTGGGGGGCTTGAACACAACCCCCCCCCCCCCAATCAGCGATGTCGTCGGGAGATTCGGGCTTTCGTCGTAAAATTGATAACCGTTTAACGTGTTGAAATTTCTCCAAGAAATCGCCCTGGAAAGAATTTTCAGCTAATCTAAGGGGCGTAATTGCTCCATAATTGCCAAAATTTCTGCTCCCTTCGCTCGCAGATGATTTGCATTTTCCCTTTTAACCCCAAGGAACTCTTTAAGCTTTCTCTGCCCTTTTTGCAAAATTTGAACATAGCATAGATGATAAAATATAAACCAGCACTAAATAATTGATCAAACAATATATGACCAAAATCAAAAGTGCTTGTGAATTGTATACTTAATTTCAATTCCGTAAAGATTAGCCCAAATTTCCATTGGATTCATCCGAATAAAAGTTATTTTCAAACGTATTTTCCACTGACAAAAACAAGATAAAATCACTAAAATGGACGTACGACTTATCAAAAGTGTAATCGGTCGACCTCTTGTATCATCAATTGTTTTTGATGAGACATCGATCTTGATATAAAGAATAATTAATGGATTGTTCTTCTTGCTACTTAATTATGGCGTGGTCAGCAAAGATTTCTAAAAGGTCCCGTCAGAAAATCGTCTATTTTTATCAAAATGTGCAGTCAAATTAGACATGATCCAAGATGTTGTCTTGACAGAAAATCGTAGGTCTCCCTCCCCCCCCCCCCAAATGGAAGCCTGAATTTCCGCCTTTAGACTGTAAAATTTTAAATATGCTAATAAAGACAACGACGGTATGGAGAGCGCCACATGAAGAGGGGAATGAGCAGGGTGGCCGAGAGGTTTCGGCGGCCCTTAACAGAACAGAAAGCCAAAACCTCATGCGAGGGAAGCAAACAGAAAGTTTTCACTACCACGCCTATATGATTAGTTTGAAATATATTTCAGGATACTCCTTGCTGTTATTTCCTTTCAATTTTTGAATACTTTTGCCATTATTTAGTCATGCTTTTGTAAAGTGACTTTTATCAGGCCTTTCAGTATAACTTTTTATCGATGCAAGTTATAAAACTGTAACTTTGTTAACTGGTATACTTTGGCGTACAATATTAAACTAGATAGATACAATTTTAAAAATTTCTTCAAAAGCAATTTCTAGACTGGAGTATTTGAACCATGATATATCTCTCTTTGAGAAAAGGTTGTATGCATATATTCCTCTTTTTTGAAAAGGTTGAATAAATACCTGAAAATACTTCGTCATTTTAGATTGACTATGATGAAGAGCACCTAAAATGTACAAAATGGGAAAGAAAAAAGGGGAAAGAAAAATGAAAGGAAATGCTGAGCAGGGCATCAACATATAAACTCTGTTTGGCACTGAAATTATCAGATAAAATAAATGTGCTGTTTATAGAAGAAGGGAAAAAGTATTCAAATCAGGATCCCGATCGATTTGTTTATATCCGGTGACGATCCTTGGCTTGAACAAAATATACAGAAAGATACTCTTGGCATAATCTAATTTTGAAAACCCCTACACAACAAAGCGATTCAAAAACTCTCAATGCACTAGGATGCTTCAGGGTATTTTTCATTTTTTATACTCGTGCAGTGTTGAAAAGTAAACCAGCCTGCACCAAAAAAATTAAATTGTGATGAAACTATTCTATCATCTTCCAATTCCACAACTTGTTCCTTTTCAGCAACACTTTTTTCTTTGTCATGGAAGTACAGTGGAATATTCAATTCAAATTATTTTGGCTCACATACACACTGTCATCAGGTACTTATGTTTTAGTTGAAAATTAAAATATGGAGAGGCTTTAATGTCAAAATTCACCTAAGGCAAGGTGCATGAAAGTAAAACTGAAACAACGATGTAGGTACGCGAAAATTAATATCCAGAAAAAGCTAGCTTTAAATTATAAAATTTTCAATGACAAGGACATTTTTCGAAGCTAAGCTAAAGCCAGTCAAAATCTTTTCTTGATTTGTTAAATATGTAATGTTTATGAGTAACACCGGTAACTTTGCATCAGCTGAATATGTGATAAAATATTAAATTAACGACTTACAGGAAAACTTTCTCTCTAATTTGAATTTATTCAAATAACATTTCTATATTTCAAATTCAGTATCAGCGGCTGATCCAGGAGAACTGCTTGCAAACAAAACAAAGTCATCACCAAGTCACGTGACATCGCTGAAAGGCTCATCACTGTGCTTAAAGTGGGGCTATGAGTATGGTGGTGATATTCCCAGAATAATAGTCTACAGAGAACAAATAATTGGATTTAACAGTTCTTCACAGGCAGCACTGCAACCTGTGGCAAAGAGGACAGGAGCAAATGGTATGCTTCAGCTTGTGCCAACTGTTCCAGCACCATTCTCTGGAAGGCTCACAGTAATACCATTCAACGATACACTGGTGATCAGAGGATTGAAGTACAATGACACTGCTTACCAATTTGCATCATATATTATTTTAAACATTACTTTTGCTGGTACAACCACCTCAAATATTGGTTACCTCATACCAGTTGTCAAAATTACAATCAACGGTAACGTTATATATTTTAATAAACCCTTTCAGCTTTGTATTTATGTTTAGGCATGGCACTTTTAAGATGGAGCAATCAAGGAATGGATGTTATTTATATTGCTTCTAATCTTTTTAACCAATTAAGTTACAGATCATTTTCATGACGTTTTCTTGTTGTCTTGAATTCCCGTTGATAGGTACTCTCTTATATTATATATAAGACTAATCGTTCTGGTCGTATATTATTAGCTAACTGCTAATGCCGATTCAAAGTGTTAATTTGTGACGAAGAAGTAGGAAGTTTAGCAATTGATCAAGCGATTGCAATTCAAAACGTAGAAAACTTATTTCATTATGTAATTGTTGTCAGAGGCAGGTCAATTCAAATTGTTCCCAGCTATTCTGAAATAAGCCGCATTGGCAACATCTCCTCTTAGTATCGAGAAGACAATGCAACTTCTGATTTGTCACAACCGCATCCTGTGCTGTAAACCACCTCGTACAGCTCCTCCGGTCGTATCCCTATTGTAACAGAAATGCAATCAAACCTGACCCATAGGTAGTTTAGTTTGATTTTTCGATTTGCAGCCTTCATTTGTCCCGTTCAAAAATTTCAAGGATATGAAATATGATTTCTCTATTGTCAATAGGAGTACCAGAATTCATCACACCACCTCCAGCTACAGTTGAAGTGAATGAAAATTCAAACTTAGAAATAGCAATTGAAATGGATGGAAACCCTGCACCATCAGCTGATTTTTTTTGGCCTCATATTGGTGATGGTGGTACAACTGTTGCTGGTAGCCAAATCTACCCATATGTTTATTCAGCAAAGTTTTCACGTCCAAATATAGCAGCTAGTTATTGTGGAAGAATATTGAAATCTTCAGTGAAGAACAGTATTGGATTATCACTTGCCAAAGACACCAATGTCACTGTTTTACGTAAGTGCTTTATGTTGATAGTAATACAGAACTTTTGATTTGATTTTGATTTTTTGAAGGTGAAAAAGTATGCCTAATGGAATGGAGTGGTAAGCAAGAATGGGCTCTTCTCTTTTAATGCTGTGTAAATGGACGATAAGAACACGATATCGATGCAAATGAAAGAGCTCTAGGGCATAACAGGAGGACTTCATATCTCGGACTTTTGCCACTTGACAAAGAGAAAAGTTTGACGTCATTTAATCTTGGAAGTAGGTGAAGAGGCTACGGAAGGCTACATGAACAGAAAAGTATGCTTCTTTTATATGCTCACGTATCCGTCCACGCAAAGATGGAGTAGTTAATGAGTGCAATAAACATCACGCACGAAAGCCTCAATAGATATGTGAAACTTCTTTTTTCAGTGAAACTTGACGGCAATCCAAATTTGCAAGCAGGAAAGATAATCGTAGACAGTTGTGTCGAAGTGAAATGGACGAAGGCCGAATCTGGGGCTTGTTACGTGAAATATGAACTGAGATTGAAGGATGCCTCAGGGATTGTTGTTTATACTGAAACTGGATATAACATAGATCAAATAAAGAAATGCAAAATTCCACGAAATGTGAATATCACTGAAGTTGAAATGACGATGAGTTTCAAGAGTACTTCAAAGGTCTTCACTGCCAAAGTCGCAGAAACACCCATCCCAACAACACTACTGCCGACAACTTCATCGAAAACTTCAAAAACACCGGGTTGGTATATATCTCATTCATAGTCGTGTTTTTATTTTCCTTTCTTGGACCATTTAACTGATCTAGTCATTATTATAATTTTTGGACGATTTGCATCCGTTTAAAAACATAATACTTAGAAAACCTATTTGTGAACACCTTAAGTTGCATGTAAACGTTTTCTCCAATCACACTAGTAGCAAGTTCAAGTGAACCAACAACGAGAACAGGCACGGCGCACAAATCAACAGCTAAGGAGAAGACAAGTGTTCAGCCAACAGCATGTAAAGAAAAACAAGGCAAGTTCTATTTGATTGATTTTTAGATTTTTAGAAACCGTGAAATAGAGAGTTACTACTTACTATGGATTTGGTACACAAAGGTGGCCCTCCATCCTTCTATTGAATCTCTCAGGTGTTTTTAAGGTTGGTCTTTGAATTTCAGTGGTACAAAATGACTGTACCTGGCACTGGTGATGATTGTTATTGAATTTAAATACTGAAACATTTATTAGCGCGCTAATCATTCAATTTCCTTGTGAGTACATCACTTTAAATTTGAGGCCAGCTGTTGATTTTGTTACTTCCATATAAGAATCTTCTTATTGGACCTTTTTTGTAATGTGCTAGCGATACGGTGGGGGGGATGGGATTACTCTCAAGGCTTAGTGAATGAAGTCCTTGTTTCTGAGCTGGAACTTCAAGGAATGAAGCGGGTTTTTTCAACTTTGTCTAAAATAACATCTTACGGTACAGCTAAGGGGCTATGTCCCCTATTTATAGATACTAGCTCCTGCCCTCTGTCCAGCTTCAGGGCATTATTAAAAGCTATTCCTAGCAGTCGGAATTCTGTCCCCAACAAGGACAAGAGCCCGCATATAACCTACACATTTTGTGTTGTCATTGCAGTGAATAGCGATGAAGAGAAAGACAACATAATCATAGCGCTTTCAGTAGTGGTTGCAGTCTCATTCATTGCCATGGCAACAATGGTGATCTGTCTCATCAGAATAAAAGGGAAACAAACACAAGGTATCCTTAGTTACGGTTTTCATCACAAAAATAGTTTTCCTTCAAGCTGTTTGATGTCCTTCATAATTAAGAATTATATCTCTCAATAACTTAAAAGTTTCATCTACTTTTTTGTAGCTCAAGACAATGGAAATAAAAGGTATATTGAGTTGATGCTTTCGTATAGTTTAAGTTTTGCCAGTTTGAAGTCGTTCTAAAATTTATCTACTACCAATTGTTGTTCAAAAGTAAATTCTGTCCTTAGCTGCTCTTCTATGTCCTTTGCCAATTTTAAATGGCTTTCCTTTAGTAGTTTCATACATTTAGCAAAGATAAATGAGTGTACTTTGTTGAATCCATAGGAATATACAGCCAAAGGAGACACATTACATGGATCTTCAGGGACAAACTGCAAGAACAGATTCAACTTACGCAGGCTTGCAATCACCATACGAAGAGATACACGATGCTGCTCGGAATTATGAAAATACGAAGCACCTTTCAAGCGTTTTATGAGCTCAAACTGTAATCTTGTCAATATAAAATTCTTAGATCGATATTCTTCATATCTTCTAAACCTCTTAGATCGATAAATTTCTGTCATTTTTTATAAAAATCGGATAATCATTTTAATAAACATAAACTTAATAATTAAAGATTTCAAGAGGCAAATGGAAAGAAGTTACTTGAATGGCATTTTGTTGCTGCTCTTTTACAAAGATCAAAAACAGTACTAACCTTGAACAATGCTAAATGTTGTTTTACGCCAAAGCAGTCAACAAGAATAACTTTCCCTCAACGAACCAAATATGAAGATATCAGTCTGTTTTCGACACCTTCGTCATTTCTTTACATGACAGTACCAATCAGTCAATGCGTGAAATGATTTCTCTAGCACGTGTGTACGCTTTCATTTATTCTATAACCATTCCCCATCTACAGACTACAAGGGGTCAGGATCCATAAAGTCCTGAAGGGACACAGAAAAAACATCTTCGTTTTATTCAACTGCCCATTTCTATTTTACCCTTAAAAATTCCGATCATCGTTAATAAAAAGCATTTTTCTATCCCGTTTATCTCTTTACTATCGGCTCAAACCTTTGACTTTAATTTCTTAAACCATATTTTGGTTGTTGCTAGAAATTCGTCAAGAAATTTTTTTTTGTACAGTTTTATTTCCTGTTCCATTGTTTGGAAGCTCTTTTCACCTTTTGGTGTCTTTCTTCCAATTCTACTTGTCGCTTTAGTTGTTTAGTTAGCTATATTCTTACTTTTTGTTAGTACTTTCTAAAATATTCTTTTTGTTAGTGCTTTCTAAGATATTTAAGAAAGATTAACTGACCAGCAAGAAATTCTATAGGCCAGTCAGTATGTTGCCTTAAAATAAAATTATTTGAGAGAATCATGTTCAAACAACCATACCTTTTTTTTGTCATCTGCTATCCCCACTCCTTTGTGGCTTTCGTAAAGGTTATGGAACCCAACACACTCTTTGTTAGTGCGAATAGCCCTTGGACGTTGAATTAAAGTTATTTTATCTAGCCTCGTTTTTACATTGCATTGTTTTCTTTACGTCTCTTAAGGCTGATTTCCACTAGGCGAATTGTTTCGCGCGAATCGAATTTTTGCCAATGTGAGCATGCGTGGTGTCATGTTCTCAGATTTCGCAGCGAAAAAATTCGATTCGCAGAAAGTAGATCACGGTCCTACTCTATCGCTACGAATATTTATTCGATTCGCGCGAAAGATTCGGCTAGTGGAAATCGGTCTTAAGTGTAGTTCCATTAGCCTTTTGGTTTCCCGTTTTGCGGCTTTGCTTTTCTTGTTTATTCGGTAGTGTAGTATAAGATTGCACCATTTTGGGTTGTTTTTTCACTGCTTGTATTTGCTGTGTTGGGGGGAGTTTTCTGTAGTTTACGTGCCGTTTTGGCCTGGTAGTTTCTCTTGTTTGTTTGGGCGTCGGCAAGTTTTATGGTTAGCGGACTATTGTTGTAAGTTGTTATTTTATTAGTTCTTTTTATTTGTAATGTTATACTGGTGTTATAGTGTGTTGGGATTTTTTCGTGTTTATATACTTTATGCTTTCATTAACTTTGATAATTATTCGTTTTCCATTTTTATATTCATTCTAGTGTTTCCCAATTTATATTTATGTTGTTTGATATTTTTTCTTTTTGTGAACCGCTTAAATCACAGACTGTGTTGATTTCTTGCTGTGTTTTCTGCTGGGGATTTTTAGGTGTGGTGGTTCGATTTACAAAAATGTAAGAATTAGAATCGTGGATAGGGTAGTTGAAATTAGTTATTTAATGTCATGCTGTGATGATGAAGAGGTTTAGAGAAGAGAAACAGGTATTGACGAGGCGTTGTTTCTGGTGTAAGATGTAAGAGTGAGACGATATGGATGATGGTGGGTTGTTTGAAGGAACTGAAGCTGAAGCAGGTCGAGCCATCAAGGCGGGGCGATGAAACTGACGAAGGCAATTAACCGTGTGTCTGATTCCCTGACTGTTGGCGAAGAAAATCGAAAGATGCAGATGATTGAAAGAAGACTGGACGAAGCGTTCCATAACTTCAAAGAAGCATGGGTGAGACCAAAGATACTGGAATAGTGATCTTTGGTAAGACATAAAAATGCGTGCGTTGAATTCAAGACGTTGTCAGGAACCTGTTGTGAAGAAGAATTTGACAAAGCTCAAGATGGCCTCATACGCGATCCAATAGGAGCGTCATTGAACATGAAGCAGACGAAAAAATTTGGGTTGAAGGCCTCCCCTGCCTTGATATTCTCAGATCCCTGCCGGCAGAAAGCAAGCATTTCACCTCCAGAACAGATAAACATTGAGCCTTCCCTCAGTGGTAATGCAAGAAAAGAAATTTCAGAAAACCATGCTACATTTGGTGGATTTAAATTTCGTGCTCCTCTTTGTTGGGCTGGGTACGGTGACAATGGAACATGCCCCTCCGAGAAGGTCAGACAATACCTATATGATGAGAAATCTATTGATGGGATGTAGTTCGACCCCACAACAGGCATTTGATATAAACTCTACTACATGGCAACCCTGTGGAAACCATTTTTTTAACAAAAGTGATTCACGGAAGGTTTAAAATCAAAGACAACCAAAAGAAGTTGCAAACTCCAATCGAGAAATGGTAGCCTATGTAGAACTGATGAAGGAATAAATTATTTGGAGGCAATGAAGGCCCTAGCAACTGCTGCATTGCTACCAAGGGAAGAGCTGATGCACTTTGACGGTAGCCCCTTTAATTATTTTTTGTTCATGACTTTTTTTGAAAATAACGTTGAAAAAAGTACTCAAGATTTCAGCAAGAGAATACAACTCCTGATACAGCTCTGCACTAGAAAGGCAAAGAAGGCAATTCAGAGCTGCGTTCTTCTGCACCCTCATGAAGGGTATTTTCAGGCGAAGAAAATTCTTTCAGAACGATTTGGTGATGCATACAAGGTTTCAAGAACATGGCTGACTAAAATCATGGATGGTGCACAAATCAGGCCTGGTGATGGTGAAGCATTGCAGGATCTTGCTGACGACATAGAAAGTTGTGAAATTACACTTCAAGCGGCAGGACGACTTAATCAGCTGAACAACGAAAACAGTTTGCTTAAAATTTTGAAGCGATGAAGGTGTATATAAGATCTCGTTGGCAGTCACGTGTTCAAGAGTTAAGAGCACAAGTCCATGGCAATTTGATGGAATGGATGGTGAAAATAAAGAGTTGAGAGACAGAAAAAGAAAAAAAAAACGGGAAAGCCTATAACGATTTTTTATCTAGTTTTGAACATTTACTGCTCAAAGACAACACGGTTACCATCCATACAAGGAATTAAAATTTACTTGTAACAGAAATTCAAAAAACTATTCATCACGAAAAACCAAGTTTCATGGAAGATATTTTTAGCATAACAGAGTCACCATATAACCTCAGGGGGGCCACTTTCACTAGAAGTAAACCAAACACTATTGCATACGGATGTTACATTGGCTATATGGTAGTCCCATGATACATGATCGCTCAATATTGCAGCAAGCAGCTTACTAAGTGCTCATCAATACGAACCCTACACCCGGGTAAATGCCAGGAGTGCTTTGCCCCCGTCGCAACTCTTCTGGGAGATAGAATTCTTTCTTTTGGGAGAAGGAAAAGTTTAAATATACAAATGACTTGAAAACATCACCATTTCATAATACAATATTAAAGTATATCAAGCTTAGCAAAGCTCGTTTCGCCAATCCAACCCCAGACAAGTTAGTATTAAACTATTGAGACAACTAAACGATTGTTATTAAACAAACAATCGCTGACAAGCAAAAGCAGCAACGACAAAAAGGACAGAAATGAAAAGCACCAATGAGCAAAATGACCTAGATTGATTATAACCAGCAACAAAAGATTGAAACTAAACATATATAGATACGAAATTAAATACCAGCAAGCAGCGCATAAGTTAAATATCAAATAATTTGTTTCATAGGACGCTCTCTTTTTTGTTTCTCGAGATTTCTCTTGAAAAGTTTACAATATCTACTGTGTCTTCGTTTGAATGCGATCATGCATTCTCAATTTTAAAGATAATTAAGTCCAGATTCAGGTCCTCGATATATTCTTAAATTATTCTTATTCTTTTCAAATATTTTATGGTTTCAGAGGAACATCGCCCACTTTTGAATAAAATCATCGTATTTTTCAAGACGAGAAACGCCAGTTCTGCAATTCCTTGCTATGACAACCCAAATAAGGCAGCTGTTGAAAAATGGGGCACAAATATTTCTATGATTTCTGACCCTGAGTATTCTTATAAATAAAGACAGTTGCTTAACAAGTGTAACTTTTGCGGATATAATCATTCATATTAGGCCGCAATACATTGGGTCCAAAATTTTTCAAATTTTCTACAAGCAGAGGCTGATATCCAATAGCTTTGTGACTTTGTTACATATATAAAGGAAGTTATCCAACCTTATATCCTGCGGTCAACGAAGTCACTTTGAACAAACAGTTAACAAAGGCTGGATCTTTAACAAAGGTCACTGCCAAGGTAGCCCACTATTGATCTTTGTCTTTCATTACCACATCATTCTAATACGGAGCAACCTGAAATGGGTGCCACTATTTTATTACAAAAATGTTATACTCATGTTTCAAGAAATGAGATCTTTCAATCACCGATACTGGCTTATTAAAAAAGGGCTGATCTAAAATCGACTTCTTCATTTTCGATTGCATGTGATCCATTCTGTGAAACAGTTGCTGTTGCTGAATTACGATTTAACTTCCTTGTTGACATGGAACCGTTTGAAAGTAGGTCGATGTTTTCATTTCCTCTTCGAATTCATGGAAGCTATCATTGATTGTTGAATTTCTATTAACTACCGCTTTATGGATTGAAATCGCAAGATGATGGCTGAATGAAGCATAAAAGAGAGCAATCCGTATTCTATTTCAGAAAAATTACTTGCCTTGGTTTCTGGTTTCAAACAGATCGATAGGCCTACTCGTAACGATTTTCCTATTTGACCCCGTTCCCTATATGACCCCAAGCGTTGCCAACATGATTGCATTGACGACATAGGAGACGGTAACAGTGGCGGAGATTATGGGGTTTTGGGGGGCTCGGACTCCCCCTCCCAATAAACGATGTCGTCGGGAAATTCGGGCTTTCGTCGTAAAATTGACAACCGTTTAACGTGTTGAAATTTCTCCAAGAAATCTTTCAGGAAAGGACTTTTCAGCTAATCTAAGGGGCGTAATTGCCCGCAATTGCCAAAACAACTGCATTTTCCCTTTTTACCCCAGGGACCTCTTTAAGCTTTCCCAGCCCTTCATGCAAATTTTGAACATAGCATAGCTGATAAAATATTTGCCAGTACAAAAAAATCAATCAAACAATATATGACCAAAATCAAAACTGCTTGCGAATTGAATATCTAATTTCAATTCCGTAAAGATTAGCCCAAATTTCCATTGGATTCTTCCGAATAAAAGTTATTTTCAAACGTATTTTCCACTGACAAAAACAAGATAAAATCACTAAAATGGACGTACGACTTGTCAAAAGTGTAATCGGTCGACCTCTTGTATCATCAATTGTCTTAGAAGAGACATCGATCTTGATATAAAAATCATTAATGGATTGTTCTTCTTGCTACTTAATTATGGCGTGGTTAGCAAAGATTTCTAAAGAGTCCCGTCAAAAAATCAACTTTTTTATCAAAATGTGCAGTCTCTTTAAAATTAGACATGATCCAAGATGTTGTCTTGTCGGAAAATCGTAGGCTTGCCCCTCCCCCCCCCCAAATGATAACCTGAATTTCGGCCTTTGGACTGTAAAATTTTGGAGACACGGAAACAACTACGATATGCAGACCCCGATATGATATGAATGAGCAGAGTGGCCGAAAGGTTTAGGAGGCCCTTAGTCAAAACAGAAAGCCAAAACCTCCTGCGAGGGAAGCAAACAGAAAGTTTTCATAGCCACGCACATAAGGGTAGTTTGAAATATATTTCAGGATGTTCCTTGCTGTTATTTCCTTTCTATTTTTGAATACTTTTACCATTATTTAGCCATAGTTTTGTAAAATGACTTTTATTAGGCCTTTCAGTATAACTTTTTAGTTATGCAAATTATAAAACTATAACTTTGTCTACTGGTGTACTTTGGCGTACTTTGGAGACTAGATGCGATTCAAGTTTTAAGATTTCTTCCTTGAGCAATTTCTAGACTCGGGTATTTGAACCATGATCTTTTTAGGCTTTACACTATAGCTTTTTATCGATACAAGTTATAAAACTGTAACTTTGTTTACTGGTGTACTTTGGCGTGCCGATTTAGATATAGTTTGTATATTTCCCTCTTTGAGAAAAGGTTAAAAAAATAGCTAAAAATACATATTTCTCTGTTATAAATTCATTACATAGATACTTAATGTGTTATTCACTTAAACAAGTCATTTTAGATTGACTATAATGAGAGGTACCAATAATGTAGAAAAATGGGAAAGAAAAATGAAAGGAAATGCTGAGCATGGCATCAACATATAAACTCTGCTGGGCGATAAAACTATCAGATATAATAAACGCGCTGTTCATATACAAAGGAAAAGTATTCGAATCAGGATCCCATCGATTTGTTTATATCCGGTGACTTAGCTTGAACAATTTATACAAGAAAGATACTCTTGGCATAATCTAATTTTGGAAACCCCATGCACAGAGCGACCGAAAAGCTCTTAATGCATTACCATGCTTCTTAGTTTTTGTCTATTTTTCTTCATGCAATATTGAAAAGTAAACCAGCCTGCTCTAAAAGATTGAAATGTGATGAATCTAATCTATCATCTTCCAATTCCACAACTTGTTCCTTTTCAGCAACACTTTTTTCTTTGTCATGGAAGTAGAGTGGAATATTCAATTCAAGATATTTTGGCTCACATACACACTGTCATCAGGTATCTATGTTGCAGTTGAAAATTAAAACATCGAATGGCTTTAGTGTCAAAATTCAGCTTAGGCTTTTGCAAGGTGCATGAAAGTAAAACATTACTATTACGCAAGAAGAAATATCCAGAAATAGCTAGCTTTAAAATTTACAATTTTCCATGACATGGACAAGTTCCGAAGCTAAGCTAAGCCAGTCAAAATCTTTTCTTGATTTGTTAAATATGTAATGTTTATGAATAACACCGGTAACTTTGCATCAGCTGAATATGTGATAAAATATTAAATTAACGACTTACAGGAAAACTTTCTCTCTAATTTGAATTTATTCAAATAACATTTCTATATTTCAAATTCAGTATCAGCGGCTGATCCAGGAGAACTGCTTGCAAACAAAACAAAGTCATCACCAAGTCACGTGACATCGCTGAAAGGCTCTTCACTGTGGTTAAAGTGGGGCTATGAGTATGGTGGTGATATTCCCAGAATAATAGTCTACAGAGAACAAATAATTGGATTTAACAGTTCTTCACAGGCAGCACTGCAACCTGTGGCAAAGAGGACAGGAGCAAATGGTATGCTTCAGCTTGTGCCAACTGTTCCAGCACCATTCTCTGGAAGGCTCACAGTAATACCATCCAACGATACACTGGTGATCAGTGGACTAAAGTACAACGACACTGCGTACCAATTTGCATCATATATTATTTTAGACAGTACTTTTGCTGGTACAACCACCTCAAATAATGGTTACCTCAAACCAGTTGCCAGTATTACAATCAACGGTAACGTTATATATTTTAACAAACCCTTTAAGCTTTGTATTTATGTTTAGGCATGGTACTTTTAAGATGGAACAATCAAGGAATGCATATTATTTGTATTGCTTCTTATCTTATTAACCAATTAAGTTACAAATCACTTTCATGACGTTTTCTTGTTGTCTTGGTTTCCCGTTGATAGGTACTCTCTTATATTATGAATAAGACTAATCGTTCTGGTCGTATATTATTAGCTTCTGCTAATGCCGATTCAAAGTGTTAATTTGTGACGAAGAAGTAGGAAGTTTAGCAATTGACCAAGCGATTGCAATTCAAAAGGTAGAAAATTTATTTCATTATGTAATTGTTGTCAGAGGCAGGTCAATTCAAATTGTTCCCAGCTTTTCTGAAATAAGCCGCATTGGCAACATCTCCTGTTAGTATCGAGAAGAAAATGCAACTACTGATTTGTCACAGCCGCATCCAGTGCTGCAAACCACCTCGTACAGCTCCTCCGGTCGTATCCTTATTATAACAAAAATACAATCAAACCTGACCCATGGGTAGATTAGTTTGATTTTTCGATTTGCAGCATTCATTTGTCCCGTTGAAAATTTTCATGGATATGAAATATTATTTCTCTTTTGTCAATAGGAGTACCAGAATTCATCACACCACCTCCAGCCACAGCTGAGGTGAATGAAAATTCAAATTTAGAAATAGCAATTGAAATGGATGGAAACCCAGCACCATCAGCTGATTTTTTTTGGCCTCATATTGGTGATGGTGGGACAACTGTTGCTGGTAGCCAAATTTATCCGTATGTTTATTCAGCAAAGTTTTCACATCCAAATATAGCGGCTACTTTCTGTGGAAGGATATTGAAATCTTCAGTGAAGAACAGTATTGGGTCATCATTTGCCAAAGACACCAATGTCACTGTTTTACGTAAGTGCTTTATGTTGATAGTAATACAGAACTTTTAATTTGATTTTGATTTTTTGAATGTGAAAAAGTATGTGCAATGGAATGAGGTGGTAAGCAAGATTGGGCTCTTCTCTATTAATGCTGTGTAAATGGACGATAAGAACATGATATCGATGCATATGAAAGAGCTCTAGGGCATAACAGGAGGACTTCATATTTAGGACTTTTGCCACTCGACAGAGAGAAAAGTTTGACGTCATAGAATCTTGGAAGTAGGTGAAGAGGCTACGGAAGGCTACGTGAACAGAAAAGTATGCTTCTTTTATATGCTCACGTATCCGTCCACGCAAAGATGGAGTAGTTAACGAGTGTAATAAAAAGCACTCATGAAAGCCTCAATAGATATGTGAAACTTTTTTTTCAGTGAATCTTGATGGCAATCCTAATTTGCAAGCAAGAAAGATAATCATAGACAGTTGTGTCGAAGTGAAATGGACGAAGGCCGAATCTGGGGCTTGTTACGTGAAATACGAAGCTAAATTGAAAAATGCCTCAGGGACTGTTGTTTATACTGAAACTGGATATAACATAGATCAAATAAAGAAATGCAAAATTCCACGAAATGTGAATATCACTGACGTTGAAATGACGATGAGTTTCAAGAGTATTTCAAAGGTCTTCACTGCCAAAGTCGCAGAAACACCCATCCCTACAACACTACCGCCGACTACTACATCAAAAACTTCAAAAACACCGGGTTTGTATATATCTCATTCATAATCGCGTTTTTTTCTTTCTTGGACCTGATCTGGTTGCAGCTTTTAAAAACAAATTACTTAGAAAAGCTATTTGTGAACACCTTAAGTTGCATGTAAACATTTTCTCCAACAACACTAGTACCAAGTTCAAGTGAACCAACAACGAGAACAGACACGACCCACAAATCAACAGTTAAGGGGAAAACAAGTGTTCAGCCAACAGCTTGTAAAGAAAAACAAGGCAAGTTCTATTTGATTGATTTTTAGATTTCTAGAAACAGTGAAAAAGAGAGTTACTACTTACTATGGATTTGGTACACAAAGGTGGCCGTCCATCCTTCTATTGAATCTCTCAGGTGTTTTTAAGGTTTGTCTTTGAATTTCAGTGGTACAAAATGACTGTACCTGGCACTGGTGATGATTGTTATTGAATTTAAATACTGAAACATTTATTAGCGCGCTAATCATTCAATTTCCTTGTGAGTACATCACTTTAAATTTGAGGCCAGCTGTTGATTTTGTTACTTCCATATAAGAATCTTCTTATTGGACCTTTTTTGTAATGTGCTAGCGATACGGTGGGGGGGATGGGATTACTCTCAAGGCTTAGTGAATGAAGTCCTTGTTTCTGAGCTGGAACTTCAAGGAATGAAGCGGGTTTTTTCAACTTTCTTTAAAATAACATCTTACGGTACAGCTAAGGGGCTATGTTCCCTATTTATAGATACTAGCTCCTGCCTTCTGTCCAGCTTCAGTTCAGGGCATTATTAAAAGCTATTCCTAGCAGTCGGAAATCTGTCCTCAACAAGGGAAGAGCCCGCATATAACCTACACATTTTGTGTTGTCATTGCAGTGAATAGCGATGAAGAGAAAGACAACATAATCATAGCGCTTTCAGTAGTGGTTGCAGTCTCGTTCATTGCCATGGCAACAATGGTGATCTGTCTCATCAGAATAAAAGGGAAACAAACACAAGGTATCCTTAGTTACGGTTTTCATCACAAAAATATTTTTCTTTCAAGCTGTCAGATGTCCTTCATATTTTAGAATTATATCTCTCAAAGACTTGAAAGTTTCATCTACTTTTTTGTAGCTCAAGACAATGGAAATAAAAGGTATATTGAGTTGATGCTTTCGTATAGTTAAAGTTTTGCTAATTTGAAGTCGTTCTAAAATTTATTTACTACCAATTGTTGCTCACACGTAAATCCTGTCCTTAGCTGCTCTTCTATGTCCTTTGCCAATTTTAAATGGCTTTCCTTTAGTAGTTTCATACATTTCGCAAAGATAAATGAGTGTACTTTGTTGAATCCATAGGAATACACAGCCAAATGAGGCACATTACATGGATCTGCAGGGACAAATTGCAACCACCGATTCAACTTATGCAGGCTTGAAATCACAATACGAAGAGATTCACGATGCTGCTCGGAATTATGAAAATACGAAGCACCTTTCAAGCGTTTTATGAGCTCAAACAGCACACATTTCTTATTATTTTGGGTTCTTAGAAGATCATAATCTTCTGTAATCTTGTCAATATAAAATTCTAAGATCGATATTTTTTCATATCTTCTAAACCTAAGTATAAATTATTGTTGGTTTTTCTTTAAAAAGTGTGTCACATGTCCTTTGCTGCTCGTTTTTGCAATTTTCATTCGTTTATCTTTATGTTTTTGGCAGAGATAAACGAGTGTAATTGCATTTTGTTGAATTCTTAGTAATGCACAGCCAAATGAGGCACATTACATGGATCTGCAGGGACAAATTGCAATCACAGATTCAACTTACGCAGGCTTGCAATCACAATACGAAGAGATACACGATGCTGCTCGGAATTATGAAAATACGAAGCACCTTTCAAGCGTTTTATGAGCTCAAACAGCACATATTTCTTAATATTTTGGGTTTTTTGAAAATCATAATCTTGTGTAATCTTCTCAACATGAAATTACTAGGTTGAAATTTTTCATAATTCATCTTTCTTTCAACGAACCAAATATAAAGTCGCCAGTCTGTTTTTTGACACCTTCGTGACTTCTTTACATGACAGTACCAATCAGTCAATTCGTGAAATGAGTTCTCTAGCACGTGTGTACGCTTTCATTTATTCTATAACCATTCCCCATCTACAGACTACAGGGGTCAGGATCCATAATGTCCTGAAAGGATACGGAAAAAACATCAGTGTTTTTATTCAACTGCCTATTTCTATTTTACCCTTTAACATTCCGCTCATCGTTCATAAAAAGCATTTTTCTATCCCGTTTATCTCTTTACTATCGGCTCAAACCTTTGACTTTAATTTCTTAAGCTATATTTTGGTTGTTGCTAGAAATTCGTCAAAAATTTTTTTTCGTACAGTTTTATTTCCTGTTTTATTATTTTGGAGACTTTCTCACCATTTTGGTTTCTTTCTTCCAACCCCAATTGTCACTTTAGTTGTTTAGTTAGCTACATTTTTACTTTTTACATCGTGTCACCTCTCTTCTCAACCATTCTTTTTGTTAGTGCTTTCTGAAATATTTAAGAAAGATATACTATAAACCAACAAGAAATACTATAAACCAGTCAGTATCTTCCAGTCAGTAAATATTTGAGAGAATTTTTTTCAATCAATTATGCACTTTTATTTTTCACCTGCCATCTGTTTTTGGCTCCTCTTGTATTTTGCTGTGTTAGGGGCAGTTTTCTATCGTTTAACGTGCAGTTTTAGCCTGGGAGTTTCTTCTTGATGTGTTTGGCCGTCGTGCTAAATTTTTATGGCTACGAATATGAAGTTACTTTTCACTTTATTTGTAACTAGTTCATATCTGGCATGTTCTAGTTTAGTTGGGTTTTTTTCGTAGATTAATATACTTTAATGCTAACATTCATTTACCTTTGATAATTATTCGTTTTCATAACATTGTAATATCAAGCTTCTAGTCGTATTCTCAATTTATAATCTTTATGTATTTTTTTCTTTAGTGAACCACGTTTAACACATCACCACGGAACCTGTGTTGTTTCTTGCTGTGTTATCTGCTGAGGATTTTAGTGTGGTGCATTCGATTTACAAAAAAGTCATAGTTACGAATTGTGGACTACACTCTTATAAGATATACTGTAGATCTAGAGCAATGCTTAGATAGTAAGAAAATCGTGAGCACTGTCCTTATGGATGTCTCCAAAGCATTTGATTGTATTTCACATGAACTCTTACTGACACAATTGGAAGCATATCGACTTAGTAGAGGTGCTTTATTATTATTAATTCTAGACTACCTGCAAGGGCGATTTCAACGAGTAAAAATAAATGCTAACTTTAGCGAATGGAAAGAAACAGGTGTTCCCCAAGGTTCTGTCCTTGGTCCCCTTTTTCAACATTTTCATTACTGACATATTCTAAACCTAGATTAAAGCAAACTATACAACTATGCTGATCATAATAGCATATGGGTTAAAGGTACTGACAAGGAGGACATATCAGCTAAACTAGGACAAGAAATGAATATCATAAACCAATGGTTTATAGACAATGCTTTGCAGCTGAATGGAGACAAATGCAAACTTATGATGATTTCAGCAAAACCAAACAAAGTTGAAAAATGTAGTACTTATGCAAACAGGCAAATAGTAAATGAGGGAGTCAAAGTGAAATTGTTTGGCGTGACGATAGACAACCAATTAAAATTTGATGACCATATCAAATGTATGTGTAAAGAAGCAAGCATAAAGATAAATTCACTTGCAAAAAATAGCGCCTTGTTTGAACGAAGAGAAAAGACAACTTTAATAAAAACATTTGTTTTGACGTTCTTCAATCACTTTTCCTTGGTATGGATGTATTGTAGTAGGGAAAACAATAAACTTATTAACAACAATCATGAAAGAAAATTGCGAATAGCCTATAACGATTCTTCATGTAGTTTTGAACAACCTCTGCTCAAAGACAATACGGTTACCAACTAAACACACCACTCTAATCTCCTCAGTGGAACATCCCCAGGGGAATAAAAAAGGGGGTGGGGGGAGTGGTGTGAACCCGCAACTGTCTTTGTGCTGTCACAAGAGAAGTGGACCCTATTATAAACCGTGTATCAGAGAGTTTTGATTATATTCCAAAAAAAGTCCTCTCCCCCCTTCCAATTTTCCCCTCCCCCCTCCCCTACCCCTTACCCTCCCCTCCAACAACCAATGTGTACCCCTACCCCATCCAGGAAGTAGGATCTATAAATACAGCGTTGCAATGAGAACCCTAGAAGAACAAGCTATATCCCTGTAAAATGGGCCTAATGTAAACAAATGGGCCTAAATTCAAAGCAATTTGCAACAGAAGTTTACAAAACTATTCATCACGAAAACCCAAGTTTCATGGAAGATATTTTTAGCATAACTGAATCACCATATAACCTCAGGGGGCTCACTTTCACTAGAAATAAACCAAACACTATTGCATACGGATGTTACATTGGCTATATGGTAGTCCCAGGATACATGATCGCTCAATATTGCAGCAAGCAGCTTACTAAGTGCTCTTCAACACGAACCCTACACCCGGGTAAATGCCAGGAGTGCTTTGCCCCCCTCGCAACTCTTTTGGGAGAAGGAAAAGTTTAAATATACATATGACTTGAAAACATCACCATTTGATAATACAATATTAAAGTATATCAAGCTTAGCAAAGCTCGTTTCGCCAACCCCAGACAAGTTAGTATTAAACTATTGAGACAACTAAACGATTGTTATTAAACAAACAATCGCTGACAAGCAACAACAACAACGACAAAAAGGACAGATATGAAAAGCACCAATGAGCAAAATGACCTAGATTGATTATAACCAGCAACAAAAGATTGGAACTAAACATATATAGATACGAAATTAAATACCAGCAAGCAGCGCATAAGTTAAATATATCAAATTATTTGTTTCATAGGACGCTCTCTTTTGTGTTTCTCGAGATTTCTCTTGAAAAGTTTACAATACCTACTGTGTCTTCGTTTGAATGCGATCCTGCATTCTCAGTTTTAAAGATAATTAAGTCCAGATTCAGGTCCTGGATATATTCTTAAATTATTAAGAATATGTTATTAAATTATTCTTATTCTTTTCAAATCTTATATGTTTTCAGAGGAACATCGCCCACTTTTGAATAAAATCATCGTATTTTTAACAACGAGATACGCCAGTTCTGCAATTCCTTGCTATGACAACCCAAAACATGCAGCTGCTGAAAAATGAGGCACGAATATTTCGATGATTTCTGAGCCTGAAAATTCTTATAAAGAAGTGTAACTTTTCCTGATATAATTATTCAATTTAGGCCGCAAATCCAAAATCCCTTTTTGCTACCAGCAGAGCCTGATATATCCAATAGCTTTGTGACTTTGTTACATATATAAAGGAAGTAATCCAACCTTATATCTGGCGGTCAACGAGGTCACTTTGAACAAACAGTTAACAAAGGCCGAATCTTTAACAAAGGTCACTGCCAAGGTAGCCCACTATTGATCTTTGTCTTTCATTACCACATCATTCTAATACGGAGCAACCTGAAATGGGTGCCACTATTTTATTACAAAAATGTTATACTCATGTTTCAAGAAATGAGATCTTTCAATCACCGATACTGGCTTATAAAAACAGGCTGATCTAAAATCGACTTCTTCATTTTCAGTTGGATGTGATCCATCCATTCTGTGAAACAGTTGCTGTTGCTGAATTACGATTTAACTTCCTTGTTGACATGGAACCGTTTGAAAGTAGGTCGATGTTTTCATTTCCTCTTCGAATTCAAGTTATGAAAGCTATCGTTGATTGTTGAATTTCTATGACTACTACCACTTTATAGATTGAAATCGCAAGATGATGGCTGAATGAAGCATAAAAGAGATCCATCCGTATTCTATTTCAGAAAAAAATCTTGCCTTGGTTTCTGGTTTCAAACAGATCGATAGGCCTACTCGTAACGATTTCCCTATTTGACCCCGTTCCCTATATGACCCCAAGCGCTTCCAACATGATTACATTGATGTTATAGGAGACGGTAACAGTGGCGGAAATTTTGGGGTTTTGGGGGGATCGGACTCCCCCTCCCAATAAGGGATGTCGTCGGGAAATTCGGGCTTTCGTCGTAAAGTTGACAACCGTTTAACGTGTTGAAATTTCTCCAAGAAATCGTTCTGGAAAGGAATTTTCAGTGCCCCGTAATTGCAAAAATTTCTGCTCACTTCGCTCGCAGATGATCTGCATTTTCCCTTTTTACCCCAGGGACCTCTCTAACCTCGAACATAGCATAGCTGATAAAATATTTGCCAGTACTAAATAATCAATCAAACAATATAGGACCAAAATCAAAACTGCTTATGAATTGTATACTTAATTTCAATTCCGTAATTTCCGTAGTTAGCCAAAATTTTCATCGGATTCTTCCGAATAAAAGTTATTTTCAAACATTTTCCCACAGAGGGAAAAACGATAAAATGCATGAGAAGGACGTACGACTTGTCGAAAGTGTAATCGGTCGATCTTTTGTATCATCAATTGTGTAACGTTAACAATTGCCTATTGTCATTCATTTTTCTTAATACTTTTCCTCCTCCACGTCATTGTTTACTTAACCTCTTGCTTCGTCATTTTAATTGGCTATAATGAAAGGCACCTATAATGTATAAAAATGGGAAAGGAAAATGAAAGGAAATGCTGAGCAGGGTATGAACATATAAACTCTGCTGGGCTCTAAAATTATCAGATATAATAAATACGCTGTTTATAGCCGAAGGAAAAAAGTATTCAAATCAGTATCCCGATCGATTCGTTTATATCCGGTGACGATCCTTGGTCTGAACAAAATATACAAAAAGATACTCTTGGCATAATCTAATTTTGAAAAACCCTTTAAAAAATGCGATCCAAAAGCTCTAAGTATGCTTATTTCCAACATCAGTATGCCTCTTGGATTTTTTGTCTATTTTTCTTCATGCAATATTGAAAAGTAAACCAGCCTGCACCAAAAGAAGTAAATTGTGATGAATCTAATCTACCATTTTCCAATTCCACTACTTGTTCCTTTTCAGCAACACTTCTTTCTTTGTCATGGAGGTAGAGTGGAATATTCAATTCAAGATATTTTGGCTCACATACACACTGTCATCAGGTATCTATGTTGCAGTTGAAAATTAAAACATCGAATGGCTTTAGTGTCAAAATTCAGCTTAGGCTTTTGCAAGGTGCATGAAAGTAAAACATTACTATTACGCGAGAAGAAATATCCAGAAATAGCTAGCTTTAAAATTTACAATTTTCCATGACATGGACAAGTTCCGAAGCTAAGCTAAGCCAGTCAAAATCTATTCTTGATTTGTTAAGTGGGTAACGTATAGGAATAACACGGGTAACTTTGCATAGGCTGAATATGTGATAAGATATTGAATTAACGATCTACAGCAAAGCTTTTTTCGCTAATTTGATTTTATTCGTTTAGCATTTCTATATCTCAGTTGCAGTAACCGCACTTAATAAAGGAGTAGTTATTGCAAATGAAACAAAGTCATCACCAAGTCACGTGACATCACTGAAAGGCTCATCGATACGGTTAACGTGGGGATATGAGTATGGAGGTGATATACCCGGATTTATAACATACAAAGAACAAATAATTGGATTTAACAGCTCTTCACAGGCAGCACTGCAACCTGTAGCAAAGAGGACAGGAGCAAATGGTGCTCTTCAGCTGGAGCCAACTGTTCCAGTACCATTCTCTGGAAGGCTCCAAATAATACCATCCAACGATACATTGGTGATCAGTGGATTGAAGTACAATGACACTGCTTACCAATTTGCATCATATATTA